GATGATAGATAGATAGATGATAGATAGATAGATAGATGATAGATAGATAAAAAGTAAATAAATAAATGTAAATCTTTTATTTATTATTTTTATCTTTGTGTGTATGAGTGCTTTGCCTACATGTGTTTAAGTGTACCATGTACATGCAATGTCCATGCAGAGGCCAGAAGAGGGTGTCATATTCCCTGGAACTGGAGTTAAGGACAGTTCCAGCCACTATGTGGGCGCTGGGAATCAAACCCAGGTCCTCTGGAAGAACAGCCAATGCTCTCAAACACTAAGCCATCTCTCCAGCCCATAAAAAGTCTTTAAAGATAGTGCACTTTAAGTGTCCTGGGGAACTCCCACTGGGAGCTCTGTCTTTCACCCATCCTTTCCCTCTAACCCTCCCACTCAGCCTACAAACACTCAATATACTAAAATGAGATGAAAAGAACTTTCAAGAACAGAACCTTGACCATTGTCTCTGACTCTGTTCCTCTTTCCTCCTTTATAAAAACATGTCTGATTACATTGGACCTACCTGGATAGCATTCCTCTGTCAAGAGCCTTAATTAATTAGTTTATGATAAACCCCTTTGGTTATACAAGGTACAATTGATGCATAGATTTGGGGGAGTAGAAAATGGGCACCTTTGGGGGCATTACTTGGCATGCCACAGGGCTTAGTTTTAAATAGGTCACAAGAATACTATGAGCATTCAATGTGTCAATGTCTTACCAAGCACTCAGACCATTTATTAAATTAAACAGGTAAAACTTGCTTGTAGGAGCCTGAAGGGAGCCAGGCCTCGAAAGTCTGATTCCAGGAGCACTAGTCAATGTCACAGCTACATTGCCAAGTGGCACTAGGAATGGGAAATTATCCCAAAGGGAACAATTGGTCTCAGAGTTGGAGGAACCTTTCTAAGATAAAGAACACTTTAATGTTTCCTGGGGAACCTTCCATCTGGGAGCTCCATCTTTCATCCATCCTTTCACACTCTTTCCATTCAGTCTACAAACACGCCTCATTATCCCAAAGCGAGATGAAAAGAACTTTCAAGGCTGGAACCTGGGCCATTGTCTCTGACTCTTGCAGACCAATTGGCATCCTGAAATCATTTTTCATTTGGCCTACAAAAACCTTAGGAAATTGAAGTGGACAGCAGATTGACCCAGACTAAGGGGACCCTCCCATCTCACTAGTTCAAGAATAGATGCTATTTTGTAGGAATGGGATTGGCTAAGTCTTTTTCTGTCAGCACACACAGAGAAAATGCTCATCTTGGGCTGTTCAAGAACAGGTGGTCCAGAATCACTTGTCCACAGACCCGCATAAAGGCCTGGCCTCAGCCACACCACATCCCTATCAGTCTCAGCAGTCAGCACTCTACCTCTGCCCACTTCCCTCCTCATCTGCTGTGGGATAGCTGAAGACCAAACTGCATGAGAAGACAGGCACTCAACAGAGAAAGGTTCTCTGGTCAGACAGACCTTAATTATGACACAAAATGCCTGGCATAGAGTTAAGGAAAAGTTATGAGAAACTTTGTGTCGCACAGGGATTAGGACAGAAAAGACCAATATTCATGAGATTGCAACTATCATTATTCCTTAGTTACCAGATAGAATACTTAGATTCAGAAGCTACCCAACAATGTCATCTGAAGCCCTGGAATCCTCTTCTGTTTCGTGTGTGTGTGTGTGTGTGTGTGTGTGTGTGTGTGTGTGTGTGCACATGTGCATATTTATGGAGGCCAGAGGTCAATGTCAGCAATATCAAGCATCTTTTTCAATCACTCACCACCTTATTTTATGAGATGTTCTCTCATTGACCCTGGAACTTTCCAATTCAGCTACAATGTCTGGCCAGCAGCCCCGGGGACCCACCTGTCTCCTCTTCCCAGCACAGTATTGTAAGCAAGCACTTCCACACCCAGCTTGCAAGTGAGTTCTGGGAAACTGTATGTAGGTTCACATACTTAGGCAGCACGCACTTTACTGACTGAGCCATCTCCCCAGCTGATAATGTTTTTCAACCTTCAGCATATGCATGCACATGTGCACAAGCACACACACACACACGCACACACACACACACACACAATGCAAGCACACACAACTTTCAGACGCCCCCACACAACCTAAAGCCATCCACAACACCTGTTGATTCATACCACACAATGCTCCCTGCCACATTAACTGCATTTCCTGGCTTTCCCTTCCTGCCTCAAAGTTGACACTCCTCATCTAGACCCATCCAAATCTCTTCTATTACAGATTCCTGCCCCATTCGTTACTGAGGATCCACTTTGGTTCTAAATGTTTTATGAACATTATTCCATCTAATTATCATAATGACCAGAGAAGAAAAATATTAATATCTCCATTATACAGATGAGCAAATTGTGGCTTGGAGAGATTAAGAGATTGGTCCAAAGTCAGCTAGGAAATGGCAGAGGCAGGATTTGAATTCAAGTCTACCTAAACCCAAGACTTACGTTGTTTCTATTCTTATCTATGCACATGGCAGAGATTTATAAACTTTAGAGGGATTTTGAGACATAAGTCACCATTACAACTCCCAGTAATTGGCATTGACAGTTGAGGTCCCCAAAGTGACACAAATCTGGGTTATTCTTAAAAGCCAGAACAGACTATGAATTTCTATGGGTAGGAATTTCTACAGCACTCTCTACCTCTTTGAGAACAATTCACAGAAAGGCAAGTCCAACACATTTTTGTTATGAGTCTTTCCCATTTCAGAGTTCTCTGCCACTGCTTTGGCAGGACTTGAAGTCTGTCCTGACCTGACCTGTATGTGGTTAGATCCCTGAGCAGCGACTTCTCTGGTCATGAAACAGAACCATGTAAGCAAGCACTTACTGCTTGATCAGGATCTTCCCTTTTTGTTTTCTTTCCAAGACAGCATCTCAGGGTGGTTTAAAACCCTCTACTTAGCTGAAGGTGACTGAACTTCTGGTCCTCCTGCCTTCACCTCCTGAGGTGATGGTTGGAATTACAGGCCTGTGCTGCTATACCTAGTTTTATCCGTGCTGAGAACCAACCCCAAAGCATCATGCATGCTAGACAAGCATTCTACCAATTGAGCTACATCCCCACCCCGGGATATTCTTCTTGATGCCTGACCATATGCAGCTGCAGCTTAGAATGCCCTCTGCTAGATTTGCAGAAGTAGATGGAAGATCCTAGGCCTATAGCTATACTAATAGCTGTCCTCACTCTAAATATGGGCATATGACAGACCCGGCCAGTGAGGCTTCTGTTGAACAAGTTACGTGGACTTGGCTTGCCTGGATAATGAAGGGTTCTCACTGTCCAAACAGAGATGCACAAAGTGCATATCCACAATCAGGAGGCTGTGTGCTATATTGGCGTCACTGGCATACTCATTACCGGAAGCCTCATGGGGCATTTAATCTCCTAAGTATTTCAGAGGGTGGTGAGCACATCAGAGCCCAATTCATCTTCTTTGTCTTCATTACAGAGAGCCCTCTGAGCACCTTAATCCTCCCCCTGCTGTAGCAAAGAGCCATTTGTTTCTTTAATGGGTACGCTCTCACTAGCTAAGTGGCTTCTCAGAGCCAGGGCAGAAGGTAAAGCCATCCTGAGGACAGTGGATGATGTGCCTGGCTCAGACAGGGGACAAAAAACGCTCCTGAATCCAGATGTAGGGAGAACTGCTGTCTGCCAGCAGCTGACCATGTTCTTTCCCTCCCTGGGGTGCTCTTCCCTGGGAGTCACTTCAAGAGGAGACCTTTCATTCCCCACAGTTAGAAGAGGGTCTACAGAGTCATGGGACATCTGAACTGGAAGCAACATCTTATTGTACACACAAAGGCACTGCTCTCTGCAGGTTCCTACTCAGTGCTGTGTGACACCGACAGCAGCTTTGATTTACTTTGCACTATCTACATGCCAGGATCTATACCAAGGACTTACATTCATTAGTTTATCTGATTTCTACTCCAACTTTGTAAAGTATTATTCACATTTTGCAAACAAAGAAAGCAAATTACCCAAAGTGAAAAGATTATGAACAGCAGAGAGTCATTGAACCCCAGTCGCCTTGCCCCCAAAGCCCTGTTGATGGTGCACCATGATGGGGTCTCATCTGAAATACCAGCAGGTAGGGCGCTCAGAGGTGAAGGCACTGAAATCACGTCCAGCTGGGGAAAGACTCGCCTGGAGGTATCTAGCTGAAGAAGATGCCACACAGAACACCACATAAGGTGGACCTCCAGCCCTGACCCCATGACCAATAGTTGTGACTATATTAGACCTTGGTCATCACCTCTTAGGAGACACTCAATCAGGCAAACAGGTAACATACAGGCTCTACCTATTCCTGCCCTATCTGTATGCATACTTGTCCAAGTCTAAGTGATGAACTATACTAAAGAGGAAGTTTGGCCCCTCCTGGGCTTCTCACCTGGTCCCGGGTATAGGGGGTGTCCACTCTCTGCTTGTCACTGCAGGCTTCCAGGAGGACATGGATAGCATTCAGCTGCAGAAGCATCTCACAGGCCATTGTGTCAAAGAAGGTGATGTTGGCAAGGGCCGCAGAGGCCAGCAGGAAGACTTCCCCTGATGAGGCCTCTTGGCACAGTTCTGGATGGTGAAGAGAAAGAAAAGAGCTTTAAAGCTAAGTGCTTTCACATGAGTGATCTCACATGGTTCCCATAAAGTTCTGGGGGATAGTTTGAGTGGATGTCATAATACCCTCTTTAGAGGCAGGCAAAGCAGTCACTAGAGACAGAGCTGTTCTGCCTGCATAGCTGGCATTGGAAATCTTGTGTGTGACTCCTGCTCATCCACAGGCATTTATTGAGTGAACCCTAGGTGTCTGGTGTCTTAGGATGATAGGGTGATTCAAAAATAGGAATAATTGTAAATTCTGATAAATAGCAAGGAGAAAGCAGACAAATGCTAAGTAAGGCAGAGGATAAGTGGGGACCCAAAGGTCCACATAAGGAAAATGTCCCCAAGAATGTGACCTTAAAGTTGAAACCTTAAGAGAGAAAAGCCAGTCGTGAAACTATCTGGAGGAACAGAATATTGTAGACTAGAGGGATAACTCGTGTAGAGGCCATGAAACAGGAAGGAGTTCCAGTCTGTTTGTCTCTCCAGGAATAGACACAAGACTGCTAAATTTTCCTGAAGACACTGAGGTTAAACAGATTCTACCCTCCAGATGCTACCAGTAGAGCTTCTGCATCTCTTTGTGGTCTCAGATGACAAGTGTCAACAGGCTGCAGAAAGTCCTTCGCAAGCCCCTGAGTGCCAGGCTCTCTGTAGTATACCAGTACTAACCAAATGTACAATTTCCATTAGTGATCGTACTAAGGCTTTTTACTATTTTAAAATATTTTTATTATTTTTATTTTATGTGTATTGCCTACATGTTTGTAAGTGCACCCATGTTGTGCAGCACCCATGGATGTCAGATTCCTCTGGAACTGGAGTTACAGATGATTGTTAGCTGCCGTATGGATGCTGGGAACTGAACCCAGGTCCTCTGCAAGAGCACCCAGTGCTCTTGGCTATTGAGCCATCTCTCCAGTCCCGTACTAAGACTTTTAGGACAGTGCCTATCCCTGGATCACCTAATACAGCTTCCTCTCATAGAACCTTCTCCAGCCTCAAGCAACACGAGGAGCTCTGTCCATGGTGCTGCTTGTCCCAATGTCCAGACAGCTCCAACTTGGCTACTAATGTCTTTTAATTAACCATGTAAATGTCTTTTAATTTTGCTACACATTTATTTGAACTAAAGTCTCAGTCACATGGGGTATGGTAAGAAGATTAAATTGAGGATTCTAGCAACTCGTTTATAAATGTTTCCAGGGAATGTCAAGAAATTGGAGGGCTATTTCCCACTAAAGGACAGAGCTCTGGCTTCCTGCCTAGAAGATAGATTCCATCTGCTGAGTCTGAGAATGGGCTCCACAGTGTATCTTCATTGGGATGTATTAAATAAGAAAGCTCTCATTCTCCAGGGATCAATCCAATCTGTGCAAAGAAGCAATGTGCATATGACAGTAGTGAAGGTTTGTCTGGAGTATTCATGTTTTGACTTCCTTTTGATTTGATAATATTTATACATTGGGAAACTTTCTATTCCATTTGGAATGTAATTCTTATTTTAAAATATTGAGATCTTTCCTACAAGACAAAATCAGCTGCTATTTACCAATGGCTGTCTGCCTTTAGTCAGGAAATATGCTGATCAATTAAATACAGGTCCCAATGCCTCTTTCCTTCTTTCATCTAGCTCTGCTCAAGCCATATGTCTCCTACCAGGCTTTGGTGGGATTTGAGTGTGAGACTCCCAGCATGGTGAATCTGTTCTGGAGTCACAAGAAAGGTTCTCACCCTCTGTAGACCTACACATCTCATAGACAGTGAGCACTTGCGGTCTGAGCTCCCTCCAACCAGGTTTCTCCATGATTCCCATGTTTTCTTGACTTTGAATCAATGGGACTCTTAGCAAACCAGTTTCTTCAAGCTTGGTCTGTGGGAGCCACAGTCCCTGTGATCAGAATCAACCATACAGCCTACTATATGAAAAGCATTTCCAGATGTTAAAAATCCCAGAATTAGAAGGTTCCTTTAGAGAAATGGATTTCAGTCTCTCATTGTACATCTATGTAGGGAAATTGTCAAGCTGGATTTACAAAGCGCCATGCTAAGTGTGTGGGAGAATCCCACACAGGGTTGCTGGTCAGTAGCTGTTTCTTGGAAAGCCAGAACCCAAACTCAACTTTCCCAACTCCTATCCCAGTATCCCTTGCTGCCTCTAAATACTGGCTACTGAAGATATTTCCAGACCTGGTATGGCAACTCCACAAGCTAACCCTAAGTTTTCTAGTGAAATTAAATTCCATTTAGTTTCAATAAGAGATGGATATATAGAAGATAAGTGACAGAGGTTGGGTGGAAATGCAGACCTCTCCCAGCTTCCTGAGGACTGCTACCCAGGTGAATCCTGGTTCCCGTGGTTTAGCAAAGGAAAAGCTATGGAAAGAGCATCTTCAAAGTCATAGACTATGATTCTCCTGACAAGCATGCATCTATCTGATTAGGGGGTCAAAAAGAATCTCAGTGCATTTCAGGATGTGAGACCACTGGTGGGGCTTCCTGCAGCAGCTTGTGGTGAGCTAGTTCTGTCTGGGAAGTTGCTTATGCTACAGCCAATGAGTACAATGACTGAGACTTAGAAAAAAAGTCTATTACGTACTAATTGGAGTCCCCCCCACCCCCTTGTCTGACTCACTTGCTCTGGACTCCCTCAGAAATGCCATGTGATCCTTAACCACAGTTCACATTGCTTCTCAAAGAGCTGCATGAATTTCAACAGGACACTATTGACCAGAGAGCCCCTCAAAACCTGGCTTGGAACCATTAATGCTATGTAGGGTTTCGGCTAAGAGTGACCATCTATGGATTGTGGGTTTAGTGAGAGGCAGGGAAGAAGGCCTTCCTGGCCCTTCTTGAAAACAACTGTGCAGAGGCCCTCTTACCCAGGAGTCCTGCCCACCCAGGGTGACTCACTGATGAGGGCTGTCACGATCTCCTCCATGCTCTCCAGGAAGCTACTGAGGTGCTGGGTGAAGGGCAGGTGTGGGGAAGTGACCTGGGCCACCACAGCTGCAGCCTCAGCTCGAGTGGCCTCAGAGTGACTGTCATCAGTCAGGATGTCTGCCAAGCACAGGACACCATCCACCTGCAGATGGAGAGAGGAAGCTTACCTGTACATCCTAAGAGGGTGCAGCTGCTGGTGGCAGTAATAAGACAGACCCAATTTCTCTGCCCCTGACCTGGGGGTAAGGAGCATGATCTTGCCCATGGTTAGCTCTTCAGTGTTACTGTAGCTCCTTTTGTACCCAGCACACAGCCTGTCTGGGACCCTGCCACCAAGTACCAGAGTCCTTCTCTGGTCAGGAGATGGAGGTGGGGCTGGGGCAAGGGAAGAACAAGCAGTCACATTTTCCAATGTCCCCCACATCTGCTACCCACCTGAGCCTCTCGTCTCCACATCCTTCATTCTTACCACTCAACCCCATGGACCCCCAGAGGTCTGCCTTTCGTTTGACTAATTACCACCCTGCATTCCGAGCCTCCCTTAAAAGGCTCTTGGGACTTGTAAGGTCCATTAGCTTTGAAGGCTGTTGGCAATCTCGGACTCAAAGGAGACAAATGTGGAAACGAGAGCCCAGGGAACAGTCTGCAATAAAACTCACCTGGATGTGCTTAATAAAAGGAACAAACAGCAGCCAGGCCATCCCTGGTAGGACTGGACTCTAGCCAGATGTTTGTCTAACAGGCCCTTAGAGAGGGGCCTCATTGGAGCCCAGGGAAGGAAAGTGGGGCAGTTCAGGGCCCAGAAACAGGAAACAGCCCTTCTGCCAACATAAGAAACCTCTTTATCGGCTGCCCTCACCCGTCTTCCCTTCAAGCACCAATCAAGAGCGTTGGTAAGAAACTATAAAGCCCCTAAACAAAAGATAACTTCATTGATCTGGTCTCCTCAATCTCATCTTGATGGCAGATGGGGCTACTACCCTGGGTCCCTGACTCAGTTGATAACACCAGTCAGGCTTAAACAAGCACCCTGTCCTAGTCCTCAGCACAATAGAACACAACAGAAAGAACAAGGAATTGGTGGTCCTGGGGTGCAATAAAACCCCAGGCCTGCACATGAAGCCTCCTCTCCAGTCCAGAACCCTACCCTGCAGCCCTCAGGAGCACACACTGAGCATCAAACCTCATGCCATTGAAACCCTGGTCCAGGAGGGAGTGCCCTTGCAGTGTAGGAGGTGATTCACAGCTTGGGGAGATGGCCACTCTGGGTTTTCACGCTCAGTTCTTCTGTGATTTCATCACATATATAACCCTAAAAAGCCTGTTTTTCTCCAAGTGGTATCTGTGACTGTGTGCATCAAGTTAACTATACATTACCTAAAAGAGAATTCCTGGGCCTCTCCCGTTCGAGCTATTCTACCAGAGTCATGGAGGAGTCTGGGAATCTGCTTGCTAACAGATCCACAATGAACTTCTGTGCTGCTCCAGCATTTAGAGGAGTACAGTGATGGGATTCTCTGCTCCTCTGTCTACCTGGACCCCTGTTCTGCCAGCTCTGCTCACTTGGGGACCTCAGCTGGTTCACTTTTCCCTCCTCCGTGCCTGGTGTGTGTTGGGCTTTTAGGAGATGAAGAACACACACAAAAAACTGACATTTGACCTAAACTTGAGGACACATTGTAGACTGACAGCACTGCAGACAGGAGGGTGCTGAGGCAAACACTCAGAGAAGACACTGGAACAGGAGTCAGCTCAATGTAAACTCTACAGATTCTTAACCCTAGGAACGTGACCCCAAGTGGTGCAGACCCTGAGTCCTTAGATGCTCTTTGGTTTCCCAGAGGATCTGTGGAGCCCTAGCTGTGCAAAGGGCCAATTGTTCCTCGTTCTGCCTTCTTCCAGTGTACTAACTATGCTTCAGATCGCCTCTGAAAGTATATGATCTACAAAACAGATCATCCCTTCAACATGTATCCTGTCCTATCACATATATTATATATTCTAATATAACCATATATGCTTATAAATATATCATCTATTTGAGAGAATATATATTACAGCTGAAGAGATAGCTTAAAAATACATACTGCTCTTGAGAAGACCCAAGTTTAAGACCCAACACCATGTTACATAGCTCACAACTACCTGCAATTCCATCTCTGGACTCTGAGACACATGCACTCACATGGCATACATTCACATAAATGCACACACGTACACATAAATAAAAATAAATCTTTTAAAAAAGAATATATGTATGTTTACTTAAATTTTAATACATTGAATATAAAATATATCATGGTGACGAAATTTATAATGGACACCAATGATAAAATGGACATCTAGGGGTATGGCTGTATATACAGAGTATCCAAAATTCTAAATTTTAGAAATGAATTAAGCTAAACATCTTCTTCTTGTACATCTCATCTTTATTAATCTTGTAACTACTATACTCTTCCCAGGACATCACCCTGGGTTCTGTATATGTGATTCCCTTGTTTTTATTAGAGTTATAACATGTCTAGTAAACTAAAGCTTTACAAGGTTTTATAGCTTATATAAGGGGCATTATATTTTATACGGGAATTTTCTTTCTTCCCCAGAGAGCATCATGTTTATAAAAATACTTCCTGTTCCTGTGTATCTACAACCCATCAGTTATCACTATATGGTGGTTCACTGTATAAATCTATTGCACCTCTTGTATGTGTTCTCCTGACAGTGATCTCTTGAGTATATCCTTCGTTTTTGCTATACTAGACAATGCTGTTATAAATATTTTTCTAAATGTCCTCTGATGAGTTTGTACCAGTTCCCCTGGGGGTTCTAAAACAGGAATGGGATTTCTAGAGCATAGGATCTACACATCTTCAACTACTACTAACTTACTTTGCAATGCAGCTGTAGCAATTTATACTCACCAACAATATAGAAAGGCATTTAACTACATATTCTTTTCAGGTTTGGGTATTATGTTTACAGTTTTTAGCAATTTGATGGTGTTTTGGTTTGAATGCAGAATGTCCTCCATAGGCTCATATGTCTGAACAGTTGGTCGCCAGTGGGTGGTGCTGTTTGAGAAGTTATAGAGCCTTTAGGAGGTGTGGCCTTGCTAGAGGAAATACATCACATGGGGGAGGGGGGGAGGGTTTTAGTCCCACCACACTTTCTGTTCTGCTTCCTGTGTACCACTAGAATGTGAGCTACCAGCTTCCTGTGCTGGCTGCTGGCTGCCATGCCTTTACCACCACTGTGGATTCTCCCTCTGGAGCCTTACGCCAAAATAAACTCTCCAAGTAACTAAAGCAGTTTTGTTTTCTTAAAAAACAAACAAACAAACAAACAAACAAAAAGACGTATCTTAGAGCTGGAGGGATATCTCAGTGGTTAAGAGCACTGGTTGTACTTGCAGAGGACCCAGGTTAGGTTCCCAAGAACCATCTGCAATTCTGGTCCCAGGGGATGCAATACCCTCTTTGGTCTCTGTGGGCATTGAACAACATGGGTGCACTTACATACCATGCAGGCAAAACACTCTTACACATAAAATAAAAATTAAAGTGTTTTTAATATACTCTGATTTATATGGAGCTACAGATCAGTGAGACTGAGAGCTGTGTCATTTTGGTTTGCTCTCATGTGGTTTGCATGGACTTCTGTGTTTGGCAAGTTGGAGCTGCCTAATCATAGATTTTGTTCATTTTTCTATTTGGTAACTTTTCACAAGGGCCAGATTTCCCTGACCTTTGGTTCTTAGGATGTTGATTTCCCCTTAGCCAGCCACCTGCAGGCAGCCACCAGCCCAGGCTTATCTCTATACCCATCATCATCTCAGGAGCTCCAACCCAGCCTGACTCACCACAGTGGGAGGTCACCACTGCGTTATGAGCTTCCCAGCACTTAAGCCAATTTCTACAGTCAGAACATGCCAAGCCTTCTGGCCTGAATCTTTCCTATTTCTTACTACCTGAACAATTTTCTTACCTACTTTGAGGCTTTATCTTTAAAATTCTGATAACAATACCAATGTCAAATGGTTTTCATTTTCTTATAAAGTGGGTATTAGAAATATCAACCCCAGAGGTTGGAGAGATGGACCAGGGGTTAAAAGCACTGGCTGCTCTTACAGAGAAGCCAAGTTTGGTTCCCAGCACCTGCAAAGTGGCGAACAATGACTGACAGCTGCAGTTCTAGGGGAGATGCCCTCTTCTGGCCTCCATAAGCATTGCACACATGGTACATTTACATACATGATATATGCAGACAAAACACTCATACACATAAAACAAAATAGGTAATAAATAATAAAAATTCTACATAAAAAGAAATATCAACTTCAAAGGACTATTGAGATTATTCAACGGGAGACTGCAACAGCATAGCCAGTGCCTGCCTCATGTCAACACCATCATTTCATCCCATCTCCACCTGTGATTAAAGTTCCCCCCCATTGGCTTGAGGCCCTCTCCTCAATTCTCTGTGCCTCAGCCTCCTAATTGGGCTTCTCTCCTAGATCCCTTTCTGCAACCTGCTCAGAGACTGAGATCCCACTGAGAACCTCAGCCCTTTGGGTAATGTATTAGCCAGCCTTCCTTCACTGTGACAAAATACCTGAAAAATTCACCTTATAAGGAGGAAAGGTTTATTTTGTCTCCTGGCTTCAGTGGTTTCATGGCTCATGCCCTGTTGCTTGGCTCTGTTGCTTCAGGCCTGTGGAAGCACAGAGCATCATAGTGGGAGAGTGTGGAAGAGGAAGCCTGTTTACCTAGCAGCAGCCAGCAGGTAGAGAGAGAAAAGAGGGGCTAGGCCTCCAATATCCTCTTGAAGGGCACTTCCAATTACCTAACTTCCTTTCAGCAGTCCTTACCTTTCAAACAGCACCACAGACGCAATCAGGCCTTTAGCACATGGGTCTCTGTGAGGTATTTAAGATCCAAACTATAGCAGGTAGAGGGGGATCCATCCACAAGTGACCCACTTGTGTGGACATTTGATCATGCAACCCAGAGCTAGGGCCCTTGAAAATGGTTGTCATTCCTGACTGTTCGGGAATGATAAGATGCACAATCAGAATCCCTCAGCAAGGAATACAGCCAAAACTGGAACTATACCTGCATTTCCATTATTCACCAGACATCC